GACGATTCTATTACCTTTTTTCCTGCCTTATTTTACATATATACACGTCTAACACAATCCACAGCTACACTCACACACCTCACACCACCCATGGTCAAACATTCACAAACCTCTCAGTCTCAAGTTCACAGAGACTCCAATTTTACCCAATCAGCTTTTTAGCATTCCTAAATCCCGTACACTTCAACACCGACCATTCATAATTCTTGAACATTTCCAGTCTGAACAATTTGGGTTATCTGTGTTCCCCAGGTGTCTGCTAATCCCGCCATCTTTCTCCCAGCATGCACTATTTCATTCTTTAAAAAAAAAAACTCTGTACGTTCTCAAATTTCATAAAATATAACCAGTTGCCGGGGAACTAACTTTAAAAAAGGGGAGAGAACAATTATAATATTCTGATTTCCAGTTACTCCGCTTATTTTTCTTGAGGTGTTTGTGTGGGTGGGGTGTGGTTGGTAGGGGGAGATGGGGGTAGAATGTGAGGCCTCCTGGGTGATAAATCGTTGTTGATTGGTGAAACTCACTCAAGATGGCGGCTAGATAGATTGAGTGTGGAAAACTTGGCTGATACAGTGTGATAGTTTGTCATGCTCCCAGTTTGTGTTGGGTGGGGACAAACTTAGGGGGTTGCTTTAGGCAAAGTGTAGGCAGGGCTGGCTGTAGGCAATGTGTAGGCAAGGCTGGCTTCGGCAATGTGTAGGCAAGGCTGGCTGTAGGCAATGTGTAGGCAGGGCTGGATGTAGGCAATGTGTAGGCAAGGCTGGCTTCGGCAATGTGTAGGCAAGGCTGGCTGTAGGCAATGTGTAGGCAGGGCTGGATGTAGGCAATGTGTAGGCAAGGCTGGCTGTAGGCAATGTGTAGGCAGGGCTGGATGTAGGCAATGTGTAGGCAAGGCTGGCTGTAGGAAATGTGTAGGCAGGTCTGGCTGTAGGCAAAGTGTAGGCAGGGCTGGCTGTAGGCATTGTGTAGGCAAGGCTGGCTGTAGGCAATGTGTAGGCAGGGCTGACTGTAGGCAATGTGTAGGCAAGGCTGGATGTAGGCAATGTGTTGGAAAGGCTGGCTGTAGGCAATGTGTCTGCAGGGCTGGCTGTAGGCAATGTGTCGGCAAGACTGGTGAAATTATATTCTAGGCAAGTCTGGCTATAGTTAAAAGTTAACTGGGTTGTTGTTTTTTGTGTTAAGTTCGTAAAATATTGGTGTAGAGTGTGGGGTGTGTGCATGAATTGAAGAGGGTTGAATGTATGTATTTGGTGTGGATCAAAGGGTCGTATATTTTGGGGTTAGTTTAGTGTAGGTATTGGTGGGCCTCCCGTGGGAGTGGTTTTGTTTGTGTTTTAAAAGGTGGCGTGAGCTGGTAATGGTGGTGTTCTGTGTGGTGTTGGCTATGGTATGATTCAAAAGGTGGTATACGGAGGTATTGGTGGGTTTATGTGTGGCTTCGGTGTGGGTTGGGGGAGGGGTTTTATGATTACAACTTAAAATGTGTTTGTGTTTGAGTTTCTATAGAATGTTTTACAACTGTACGTGTTGGTAGTCCAAAAAAATGACTCCTCAAACACTGTTTTTATGACGAAATCTGTCTGAACGTACAACTAAAAAGCAAATATTATTTTAAATAAAAATAAAACTGAAGCAACGAGTTTAATATTTTCATCAATGTTTATTAGAAGAAGTTCGGTAAAGTTGACCTGTACAGAAGAAAGCTGGATTAGAATAAATTTGGTTGAGCTGGTGACCACACGACTGACCAACATGGCGGTCACGGGAAGGTAGAAGGCAGCTGATTGGTGGGTTAGTAGCTTCATTCAGTGGTGTGTTACAGCAGCAGTGTGGGTAGGGCACAACTGGCCAATTGAAGGGGTCGTCATAATGACGTCATACTTTTAGGGAGGAGAGGAAGGGGGGGGGGGTGGCAGAATTTTGTGAGGTAGAATATCGATGGAGGGGATGGGGTTCAGAAATTGTTACGTACTTTTAAATTAAATCAACTATGATTGACGTTGCATCCAAAGAGTCATTTTGAAAGATATTTTGGGTTAAATAAAAATCAAATTGAAGCATGATGTCATTTTATGAGGTTTGATTTTTTTTTGTGACGACGGGTAAGCAGGGAGAATCTTTTTTTTAAAGTGTGACGTCATTTATGGACGAGCCCTAAAGGCTAAAAACAACGTGGGCTGTAAACATGTGTATGTAAAGATGTAGCACACACTTTAGAAAGTAATGCAACAGTAACACATAATTTAACACAAAATTTAACAGAAATATAGCAGTGCATAACACTACCTATCAGTAATGCAATACAGCCCAAACAGTAATACGTGACGTAACAGATAAGGTAACAGTACCATAAAAATACAACAATAAGGCACAGATTCCAATCAAGTTAAAACATAACCGAAAACAAATGTAACATAAAAATAACACATACAATACATCCAGGCGTGTGTATGTAAAGATGTCACACACCATGACGCAAGTATGAGAAATTGAAGGCAAATATTTGACCAGCACTCATGCAAACAAACACAAGTAAGGGTAGAATAAGGCGTGGGAAAATGGTAGTTTCATGAGCAGAACCAAATACATTTTTTTTTTAAAAAACGATAGAAACAAAATGTACACAATCGTTAAGAGAATGAAACCCGTTGGTTATACAAACTCACTGCTACGGTAATAAAATACATCCATAATATGTCAACATTATGCGGTTTCTGAGCTATTAATATTTTTTTTACAATTTCTATTATTTAAACACAATTAAAAATAATCGTATCTAAATTACAAGAAGGCACTTGGGCGAAATTATGGTATTAAAGTCTCAGGATACAGGTAATTGCTTTGGTTTAAATTAAACAAATCAAAATGTTACAATCGTCAATGAATCACTTCGTTTACACGAGGAAATAAACACAAAATAACACTAAAAATATGAGTACATCTGTTCATAGGACATTTCAGAGAAATGTATTAACCACACTTTACTATCATATCATACAACATCAACCACACATATCAACCAAACACGTCAGCTCACATATCAACCACTCATATCAACCAAACATTAAAAACTACGCATGTCAATCCCACACATTAACCACACACGTCACACACACACACACACACACACACACACAACACTGCACGCCGCAAACTGATGCCATTGTAAACTACATATTATTACTTCCATTTGATTCCATCTTTAGATTCTTGCACCAGAAACCTCTTAACAAAGCTGCTCATGTAATGTGTAATGATATATTTAACACAGGACGGTTGGGTACTTAGTAAAGGCACTGAAGTGTGTAATTATATTTAACACAGGACGGTTAGGTACTTGGTAAATGCACTGAAGTGTGTAATTATATTTAACACAGGACGGTTAGGTACTAGGTAAAAGGTCATGTTGTGTGTAATTATATTTAACACAGGACGGTTGTGTACTTAGTAAAAGGTCATGTTGTGTGTAATTATATTTAACACAGGACGGTTGGGTACTAGGTAAAGGCACTGAAGTGTGTTGAATGTAAAAAAAAACAAAGTTTTTAAACGTGGCTCTAGAATTGATAGAGAACAAGGCTAACGCTCGACCACCAATGTTCAGCACCAGGTCTTAATGGTTTAACTTTCACATTTTCTGTAACTGTATGTGGTTTAACTTTCACATTTTCTGTAACTGTATGTGGTTTAACTTTCACATTTTCTGTAACTGTATGTGGTTTAACTTTCACATTTTCTGTAACTGTATGTGGTTTAACTTTCACATTTTCTGTAACTATATGTGGTTTAACTTTCACATTTTCTGTAACTATATGTGGTTTAACTTTCACATTTTCTGTAACTATATGTGGTTTAACTTTCACATTTTCTGTAACTATATGTGGTTTAACTTTCACATTTTCTGTAACTATATGTGGTTTAACTTTCACATTTTCTGTAACTATATGTGGTTTAACTTTCACATTTTCTGTAACTGTATGTGGTTTAACTTTCACTTTTTTTTCACATTTGTCTGGTTTAACTTTCAAATTTTCATGTTTTTTTTCCACCTGTTTGTGGTTTTACTTTCAAATACAGAGTACCCGTTTGCAGGAGCTTCAGGATAATTCGTGTTTGAATGTTTGCAACTTAAAAATCGCATGAATGAAGAGTCAAATTTCAAACTACATACGATCTACTGTTTTCAAAAGAGTGAAACTTTGAGAGACCATAACATATGGTGCAAAGGGTGAGGTCAATCGATGCATGCACACAGTGAAACTTGCACATTCCATGGAGCTATTGAGCCATGCTGACCTTCAAGGGGCAATGGTCAGTTTGTTTTACCGCAATGAAACTAGCAAATAACCTATCAAGTTATCTCGTTTTATTTTCGCGACATCAGATTGTAGATAAACAACTTGGTATGTTGAATGTTGAATGAAGACAAGATGTTGTAGCAAATCTATAAATACTGCTGCTTGTTAGCGACGTGTTCTAGTCTAGGGATCAAGGACGATTGACCAGTCAAAACCGGTTTCAAAATTGTCACGTGGTACACTCCTGATCGAGATTTCTGACATTGTCCAATGGTGATGAGCCGCCCAGATATGAGAGAAATCTTTTAATCTGTTTCGTATCGTTGGTCGCGGGATTAGCGGGATCGTTAGAGTGGGACATTGGAGGCTATTCTTGTTGCTACATAAACCATCCCCTGGGGGTCGGGTCGGTTTATCCTCTGTGTATGTGAGTCTGGGTCATAAAAACGCCTTTTATTGGCTGCTAATGTGTAGGATGACTTGGTCATGTGACCAGCTTATGAGATCTTTCTTCACGAGTTAGGAATTAAATCAACATCAAATTCGACTTGAAACGTAGAAGTACATCAACACGTTGCTTGACCTTTAGAGATTCCAGGTAAAACACTGACCTCAGAGAATTCAAGGAACACACTAAACTCAGATAGTCCAGGTAACACACTGACCTCAAACTAAGAGATAAATTAACACATTCGTTGACCTCAAACACACTCTGTGCAACGTTACACATTATGTCACATCTTCATTGTATCGGGGTGGGTCACAACGTTCGGTCAGATGACGTCATACTGGTCAGCACAGCCGGAGTCTTGTTGGGGGAGATGCTCTCCACGATGAGGGAGAGGCAGTTGAGGCTGGAGGCAGCGTTACCGGCAGCCGGCTCGTACCCTGGGGACAGAAGAAATAGTTGACGTGACTGACATGGTTATGTGCGTGTAAAGTGGTCAGGGCTGTAGATTAACCCAGATCCAATGTGGGCTAAGGTAGAGGTTAATGGCCTGAACATAATGTGACGTGGGCAGACAACAACGACGTGAATACAACAACATACACACCTACATCGGCTAACTTCCCTTGTTTTGAGAAATTAGTGTGAGAATTGTTGGACTTACATTAGAGACTTTCTACAATAAGGACGGTGGTCGTGTAGATGGGGGTAGATAATTCAAGATAGTCAAGTTTGTACCGCATTTCCTCCTCAAAAATACTTTCTCGACTTAGACACACACACACACACACACACACACACACACACACACACACATATATATAAATATATATATATATATATATATATATATATATATATATATATATATATATATATATATATACATATACATATACATATACATATACATATACATATACATATACATATACATATACATATACATATATATATATGGTAATGTTTACTTCAATGAGTTCTAAAGCCAGGACGCTCTTTTCACTTTTTAGTGAATTCTCTCCCTTAAACGTTTGAGTTGCCCCCCCCCCCCCCCCTTTCCCTCCCCTCCTACCTAGAAGACGAGCAAAGTGCTGAGTTTATTTATATTGCTAATGTTTCCTGCCTGCTCTTTTTTTCCTGTAATTGGCTGATGAAAATAAACTCGGCTTTCATTTTTACATACTTTATATCCTTCATCCGAGTGAAATAAAAATATACATATATATGTACATTTGTAGAATACCTCGCAGCTTAAAAAAAAATTTCACAACGTAACGTTCGTGAAAATATGTAATCCGTACCTGTAGATTTGCAAAATATTTTCAAACCCAAAATAAAATACGGCCACTAATGTTAACATTTTTAGTCGTGAAGGGGAAAAAATAATCTGAGTTCTCTCTCCCTTGCCAATGGTTTATCTTTCAGTATGGAGGTAAATATTTCAGCGGAGTCTGGATGAAGCGAGACGCCAAGACAACAACATTGAAGACAGCCAACATTCGAGGTCTGCTAACAACTTCTTAAACAGTTAAAAGATAGGAGGAAATCATAAATGATGGGGGGGGGGGGGGGGGGGTAAACTAAAATTAATAGCCATTTTAAGGCATATTTTGATTTAAGTAACGCTGAACTTTTTTTACAAGCTTTTATTTAACTCACTTCCTCTGTCGTCAGTCTGTCGTCAGTCTAGATAGAAACGCAGGAGTGAAAATTCAGACAGTTGTACTTGACCGATACGATTCACATTTGGCACGTGGGTCAAGACATGAAGACAATGCAATCTGAAACTAAATTTGATTTAATTTAATTAATCATAATTTTTTATGAATTAATTAAAATTTGGACCGAATCAGTAGGCATGTCAATCCAACCACACCACACGCGTCATCACTATCAATAGCTGCGCCATCAGGTTTAATAGCTGCGCCATCACGTTCAGTAGGCGCGCAATGGTTTTTAGTCATGTAACACTATTGTAAATAAAACATGTAAAGTACTGAAAAAAAATTCATAAAAAACGTTTTAATAACAAGCTTTTATGTAATGATGCACTAAAAAGTAGAAAATAAATTATACACTACTATTTAAATTACTATAAAGAAAAGCGTGGGTCACTTTAGTACCTATTGGATACCTTTACTAATATTTGAGAAGAGACCCACGCTTTTCTTTATAGTAATTTAAATAGTAGTGTATAATTTATTTTCTACTTTTTAGTGCATCATTACATAAAAGCTTGTTATTAAAACGTTTTTTATGAATTTTTTTTTTCTAATTTCATGAAATGTCGTTTTTTTATCTAATATTGTTTTTTAACTAACCATGCTATTTATTACTGTTGTATGATGATAAGGTATATTTATCAAAATGTTAAATTAGGATTTTAACGTTTTACAAAAAAATAATTCTCACGGAAAAAAAATCTTAAAGGAAAATGACTGTTATGATAGTCACACGTCATTTAAAAAAAATCACTAATGAAAACATATACTGAAGCGTAAAAAAGCAGATCTAGTTAGGTGTAGCTTTACGAAAGCTCAGGTTTAATGGCTACTGCCAGCATCGGTTTCTCTAATAAACGACCAAGGTCAGGGACGGGCCGAGAAATGCTCACAGAAAGTTCAAGACAGTGCCAGAGCTGACACTAACTGAAAACAAGGTCTCCGTCATCGGGCCGACACAAGATGCGATGTGTCCGGCTGTGTCAGACACACGATACGATGTGTCCGGCTGTGTCAGACACACGATACGATGTGTCCGGCTGTGTCAGACACACGATGCGATGTGTCCGTCTGTGTCAGACACACGATGCCATGTGTCCGGCTGTGTCAGACACACGATGCGATGAGTGTCAAATGGAATGGACACCTCAGGTGAAGCACAACCAGTAAATACCCAGCGATGTTCTTTAACATTTATCTTCAATTTTAAACCCTGAAAACAGTTCTTAGTCGGATCTTGTAAAAAAACGTTGTCCTCATGGCTTCGTGTGTATAGTTTAATCTGCTCTTCTTTAAAAAAAAATAAAAAAATAACCTCTGATTTCCTATGGTCTTGGTGTAAAGGCCTATAGTTCAATCGGCTTTTCTTTAAAACAAGACTCTAATATCCTGCATTTAGCCTATGTCCTACAAGTGTTCTACAAGAGTTCTTGTCATACTAGTCGTAATGTCCTATAGTGTTGACACCGTCGTACACTAAGCAACAGTCCTTCAGTTCTCCCAATGCTAACGCCATCCCTTCTATTTGCAGTATTGACAAATGGACTGACAAACTACTGTAGAATTGTTCTGACTGAAAGGGTGACTGCTGTCACATTCGGTCACCCAACACAACACACAACACAACACGCAACACAACACACAACACTACACCCAACACAACACACAACAGAACACCCAACACAACATACAACACTACACACAACACAACACACAACACAACACACAACACAACACAACACAACACAACACAACACAACACACAACACAACACCCAACCCAACACCCAACACAACACACAACACAACACACAACACACAACACACAACACACAACACAACACACAACACACAACACAACACACAACACTACAGAACTAACGTGGCATAGAACATATGTCGTAGCCAGGATTTCGTCCAGACCGAGGTTTAAAGTATTCTGGTAGTTGGTAGCGTCCATTTCTGAACCTAAAACAGTCAGCACTAAACTACAACAAAATGGGGAAAAAAATACAAAATGGGGAAAAAAATACTGCATAGGCCTAAACGGAACTATTTAATTGATTATTAATTGAATACACAACCGACCACTACTAAAATGTAGACAAAATAGAACACCTAAATGACCACAAGAAACGACCTGCCAAGATGACCACAAGAAGACCTATCTAGAAGAATCCAATCAAACTCGCGCGTAAGGTAACTCTACAACAACATTAATCAAAGATCGTCTGCGAGGTGAAGCCATGGCTTACCGCCCTTGTTCTAGCACCCAAAAAAAGTTGTGAAAATAGCCACAGTTTTCTCTGGCTTCTGGCCGCATTGGCGTGTCATCGGGGGCCTTTACACACGTGGGAATACGGGAGTCACGTGGTGTACTTGACCACGAGCGGCGCTGTTGTTATTGGTGGACACATGGCGATCTACATTCTACGCATGTCAAAAGTTGTCGTCTGCTTGTAGAGATGTTTGGCTGGGTGAAAACACGGCGTGTTTGTTGGTTCATCTGTTGTGTCTGTGGTCTCGCAGGTAATGTAGGCTGTCGTTTGATTGGTCGCTTGCTCTTGCAGCGATTGGCTCGATCCAACCATCACATGTCAGAAAATCAGAAAATTCATTCAACGCTACACACATGTCAATATCCTGAGTTGTTTTGATGTTGTTGTTTTTTTAATTTACTTATTTATTTACATTTTTTTTTGGTAATGCTATTTTGTCGATTATATATATATATATATATATATATATATATATATATATATATATATATATATATATATATATATATATATATATATATATATATATATATATATATATATATAATGCATGGTGTAATGAAGCCGTCCAAAGATTTTCTCCGCTACAAGAGCACTGAAGAGATCTTCATTAACGGTGGAAACATAACAGATCCACACGTTGGTGTATGGCGTGAGTGTGGGGCAGGGGTGAGGGTGGAGGGTGAGGTGGACGCAGCAAAGTCAAGTTGACTTGATGAGTTTACCAGACTTGAAATAATGAGATTTAGAAGATGCTGGTGTGGCGCCAGGCCCGCTCCCTGTCGAGGGGGAGGGGGGTGAGGGGGGGGGTTAAAAAATAAAATTAACTGCGTGATAGTTTTAAAATAAAGCGGCTGATGATATAGAGAGTTGAAACATTGCTCATTTTTAAAATTCATTTGTACTTTAATTAACTTAAATAACGATGGCATAACGTACAATTATCGTTTCTTGGTTTACGGTAAAATTCAAATTTAAGGTTTAGTTTTCTGTTTTCAAGATACCAGCTTAATCGATATTCTTGTGTACCAATAGCATCTGTTCTAATGGAATATAATTTGTTATGTGCCTCGATCGTCATTTCTATTAGCAGGGTTTTCTTTTAAAGTAATAAAAAATTCTCAGCGTGTAATAGCTACACAGTATCGATCAACACATTGGGTCATTCGTTTTTGTGGGTTGACCAATGGTCAACAGTCTGTCCAATGGTCGACCGAAATTATTCATTGTAGCATAACATACGCCTTTACTGCAGTACTGAATAAGTCGCGATGTTGTTGTTGGTATCAGTGTGATCGTTGGATTTGGATCGGATTAGGATTAATGTAGAGATACTAACAAAACAACAACAACACGTCATGCTGGTGTGTTGTTCAATAGCTACAGGTACATAGCCAGGCTTGATAGAGAGATGAAAAATGTCTTCGCTTAAGGTAATATACTAATATACTAACTGATGAGTTTAAGATAAAATACACCCCCCCCCCCTCCGCCCCAACCAACCAGCCGTTTACCTTTGCTTCAACCATGTTGTGTGTGTGTGTGTGTCTGTGTGTGTGTTGAACACGTAGAGTGTGTCAACCGTGGTGTGTGTGTGTGTGGTGGTGGTGGTGTGTAAAGCTCAACCTTGGAGAGATCGAACGAAAATCAAATTATATTTCGTTCATTTCACCAGCACTTTAAGTGGGTCTCACTAGGATAAATGTGGGACCAGCACTTTAAGTCGGTCTCACTAGAGTAAAGGTGAGACCAGCACTGTTTAAGTAGGATAAATGTGGGACCAGCACTTTAATAAGTCGGTCTCAAAATAATAAATATGAGACATGCACTTTAAGTGGGTCTCACTAGGATATATAATAGACTAGCACTTTAAGCCGGTCTCACTAGCATAAAGGTGAGACCACACACATGAAAAGTGAATGACGTAACTGTCTCATTACACTAGGACCCCCGGGGATTACACCAGGACCCCGGGGGTAGGGGCGACAAAACGTGGCAGCCTAATGAATGGCATCTCAAGGTAAAAGTCTGGAACTCTGCTATTCCTTTCTCCTCAGCTCTAAGCCTCTTGTGGTGCCACCCAATCTTTAAACTAGCACGTGATTTTTTTAAAGTACACTTTGTTGATTTTACTGTAAAAACAATGGTCTAGTTTCAAAGGGAAAATAAGTGTATTTAAAGCTATCGTTGACTCTATATTGCTACTTTAAAAAGTCCTATTGAAAGATTCATACGGAGTTTGTTTTATTTAAATTACGGATTTCCAATTTTTTGTTTGTTAGATAGGTTGTTTTTTGTTTTGTTTGTGTGTGTGTGTGTGTGTGTGTGTTCTTGAATGCATAAAACCGACTTTTTAAAATATAGAAATGTGATCAGCACTTCAGGTTTAAGTTGGATGGCAGGGGGCGGGGGGGGGGGGGGGGGGGGGGGGGGTAGGGGTGTTAGCAGAGTATGGGAATAAAATAAATCAACCACTTGTGTAGGTGTGGGTGTGGGGGGGGAGGGGGAGGGAAGGGTAAACGAAGCAGGTTGATTTACGAGAGAATTACCTCCACCCCCTACCTTTCCCCAAGTTTCAAATAACCTTCGTTCATCCCTCCTCCCACACTCCCCTCCCCCTCACCCCCCTCCCTCCCCCCCTCACACGCTGGTTCTCCCCGAGTGTCACATTACTTTGTGTTTGGTGTCTAAACACCGCTGGACATATTCCTCCGCCAGACCTTGATTAATAAATTTAAAGCACTCTATTTCCTCGCGGATGTCAAATAACCGGGAGGTAATTGGGTGTGTTTGTTGAGAGCGGCGTAGTAGTTTAGCGCGCCAGAGAAGTGATCTAGAACAATCCATACCGATCGTGGCCGCCTTCACGCCAGATAACGCCAGACCGAGGAAGACCTATTGCCGAAACATTCTTCTATGAACACGACCAGGATAAGTTAATTAAGACGAAGTTGTAATTATCTTTCGCTAAAATTTGATTATTGATTTAATCCTCGGAGGTAGAAGAAAAAAAAGTTGGATTAAAATATTCGCGAGAGTAAGGACTAGTTCAGGTACTCTGAAAGTTTCGACACAAGGTCTTCGTCAGCGTACTTGTGATTATCTGTAATTATCGATGATACCCACACTACCTGTTTTATTACTATCTGTACACATCTCACTTGCGGCTGAGAGCTAGACTGCTAACCTGAAAGTCTCGAGTTCGAATCCGGGTTTAAGTCAGTAGACCGTCCCTGAGTCCACCCAACTCTGATGCGTACCTAACTACGTTAGGGAAAGTAAAAGCGGCTGGGCATAGTGCTGACCACATTATTCCTTTAAATGCCGAGGTCACAGAGGAACTCTACTTCACTTGCCCAATAGACCATCAGGTTTGGGAACTTTACTTTGACTGCACATCTCACTACAGCTACAACTCCCATTTAACATAAATCAGCTGCATTTTTTTTTCGTTCTTATTTCCGGTAGGCGGATGACGGATCTTAGGATGGGACTTGAAAGAACCGGATTTTTGACAAACATGGCGCCTTACTTAATACACTAAGTACTGGGATTTGTTGAATCTTGGGAAGGACCGTGTTTCGTTAATTACTAGAGGGGGGGGAGAAAGAAGCTAAGACAAGAACTATTTGCTAATCGAAATACGCATTTTTTTAAAAACTGTAATAGATAAAAATGTAGTGGAAAAAAAGTGTAGGTTTTTTTTTTCAACTTTCGAAGACGGGTATAAAAATGGCACGGAATATTCAAAACTAGAAACTGAAAGGTGAACCTGGGTGCACGGAACAATCCACTTAAGTGAGCTAAAGATAGCCACGAGCCATGCGCGCGCGTCTGATCTGATTGGCTATCACGTTTCCCCACGCGCTCTCCACACACCCCTACTTTATGGCCAGAGAACAAAAATGGCGACAGCCTTCAGCCGGTTTGGGTCACGGCGCATGAACCGGTCGCCATAAAAACTTCCGGTTTATGAGGAGGGCCAGATAAGGGGACAACACGGTCGAGCCGGGTCTAATTCGGCGAAAGTTGGTTCCAGGGGCGGGCCCCTGTCACCCTAAACTTGAGCCCACCCCTCCCCCTGACAGGGGTGGTTTATCTGGCAGGCTGCAGGGTGCCCGCGACACTCTGGGGAGTGTGGGGGTGTTTGAACACTCTGCACCTCAGTGTAATCACTGCTTGTTTGTATGTTACCAATTATGTCGGCTGGAGAGATAAACAGTCTTGATATATGTTTTTAATCACATACAAATATAAATCACGTGATCTTGATAAAACAAACCCACATGCCATTTTCGGTAATTAAGATATATTGGCCATACATATGTATTTAAATAAATAAATAAATATAAATATACATATTTATTTAAGCCTCCATTTTTTTTTTAATTTATATACTAGCCATCAATACACTTTATACGGGCAATTCTGGTGACTTTTAGCTCTCTCCTCTTTACATATAGGCTACCCAGTTTTTCTTTTAGATATTTATCCCCAAGGAGCGGCACTTAAAACTTTCTACGGGAGGGTGGGAGTTAGGGGTAGCGGAAACTGGTTTTTCTATATTTTTTATAAAATACTTTTTTCAAATTCGTTCACGAAAAGTGTGTGTGAGCGGGGGGGGGGGGGGGGGGGGAGGGGGGTGAGGAAGAAACGGTAGCGATGTCTGAAGAAACTGCATACATTTGTACATATATTTATGTAGGCTGTTGGTGTTAATGGAGCGTGTACTCACCATTAGAATTGCTGTAATTGCCATTGTGATCAGAGCTCTGTGTTGAAGCTTGTCAGTGAAGTACTGGGGACTGTGCATGCCCTGACGACAGTAAACAAAAGGATTAAATTTAATCAATCAAAACGTTTTCACTTGTGTCTAAGGCAAAAACGTAACAGCTGTTTAAGTATGGAAGAAATACACGAATTTGAACTAATATACGTACGAAACACACACACACAAATACACAAACGCGCACACACACACACACACATAAATATACATATATATATATATATATATATATATATATATATATATATATATATATATATATATATATATATAATTAGAATGTTTCTATATAAACGGTCCACCCACCCAACCCCGCCCTCCCACGACTAGACCACGTGTACTGTCATATTGCCTGTAATGTTAGCTGGCACCCCCGTCATTGTCGACCGGCACCCTCACCCCTGGCCGAAGATAAATCCGACCCTGACTAAAGCGCGAGCGGATGCTAACGAGAGCTGAAACCATAGCGACACCTCCCCCCGGGTTCCGTCAGATAGTCGTGTCGTTATAAACGATCTCTGGCACTAAAGGTGACGTTTTGACTGGCGAGGGTGCCGACTTAATCACACACGTTTATTTAAACCCTAACCCGCCGCTTAACCAGAGCTGGTTGTCATAGCCAATTTTAGATTAACTAGCGAGATTGTGTGTGTGAGTGTGTGCGTGTTGTGCGTGTTTGTGCGTGTGTGTGTGTGTATGTGCGTGTGTGAGTGTGTGTGTGTGTGTTTGCCTGTCTGTGTAATGAGATGTGTGATAGATAAGTTATATTTTGGTTATCATTTGACTCGAAGTAAGTTGATATTTAAGACGTCATTTGATTATAAAATACTGACATAAACGTGAGTTACGAAACTCGAACATTTCATCCATAAATTATTACACCCCGATCAGCAATATTGCATATCATGTAGAAGCATACAAAACCACGCGCACTTAATCAGAGACAGCATACCTTATAGCACGCAGGAAAGACAGACACACTACTAGCAATTCCTAGCATCGACCAACAGAAAGCTTTTGATAGAGTAGATCATACATGGTTAATGAAATCGATAGATGCTTACAACCGAAGACCCTATTTTAAAACAGTGATCAAAATAATATATCACAATGCACACAATAATACACGGTAATTGACACAAGAATATTTCACATACAGAAATCAGATAGACAAAGTTGTCCTTTATCTCCCCACTGGGGCCATACTGATCAATGAAACAAAACACAATCGGGAAGCATAACAATACTGTAATACAACCATCTTTGCCAGAGCTGCATTAATAAACAGATACATCATTCCAAAAGTAATTTTCGTAGGTAGCGCCAAACTCTACAAAACCTAACTCATTTATTAAACTAACAAGCAGATTAGAGAATTTATTTTAAAATAAACATAATTAGAAACATTGGCCACAAAACCTTAAAACAAAACAAATTAAAACACCAAGATAGAACTAGGATAGAACCACATTATCCCAATTAGCACAATATTACACAGGGTTGAAAATAAACATTCTAAAAATTAAACATCACAACACCATAGAATGGAAGAAATGACATCGGTAGCTGTTATAAAGAAACGCTAACAGCATTCCAATGAATTAAAACATTATTGGCGGAGTTTCTTCCAGGCATCTCTCCCCCCCCCCCCCCTCGAACGTAATGGAATTTATATTACGCAGTGTCCGCTCACACACACACAATTTCAATTGAATCCTCCTCCCCCCCCCCCCCCCCAACCGGAGAAAAAAGTATGGAATAAACACATAAACACTAATTATTGGGGAAGACACAAACATTTACGACATCCTAATCTAATCACTCTTATACACAAAATTAGTTGGGCCAAGAAACACAATACAACAAACATTAAATATACATTTAGAAACTCATTACACCACAAGAAAGAGAAGTAGCATACAGGCTGATCTTTAACACATCGCCAGTTTCGCGCAAACTTAATTTCATTAACACGACTAGACGTTGACAAGAATATAGGACGAATCAACCAAAACAATTAGAACTGAAACACGAATACATGGACCAATTCGAATCAATTTCATCTTTTCGGTTAGAGTATGGACATCTTGTTCCCCCCCCCCCCCCCCTAGTTCAACGAGACTCGCGTTTGATGTCTGACGTAAGGTTGAATCCCACCGCCTTTGTAATTAAAATTCTTGGGACGCCAAAATGAAACATTGCCGAATATTCGAGCACTTCAAAGGTCGGCACTCGAGGAACATCAACACAAACTGCTTTCGTCATAAGAACCCACTCACCGCAGTGAATCGTCTCCCTTGATTCAAGCCTCAAACACCCCACCCCCTAGCGCTGGGAAGTAACGGACACGACGCCTAAGTTAAAGTGTGACTATGACGCTATTTAACCTGACCCCCCCCCCTCCCATACACACACACACACACACTCACACACCAGGGCTGGTGTGGGATACCTACATTGCGCCACCATCACACGGGAATATCATGCAGGGGTTATGTGGCACCCTAGATATAATGGCGCTGAAGTGGTCGCTTCGTTTAATTAATGACATTTTTTTTCACAAGGAGCAGCACATACTCAACAACATGCTCACATACATACAGACAGACAAACAAACATATTCATTTGAACTGAGACACACATACACAAGTACATATAGATACACCCAGAGACACACACAGATACACATGCATACTTAGACACACAGACAAAATGTATATATATATATATATATATATATATATATATATATATATATATATATATATATATATATATTACACACGTACACAGTTATATGGGTCCATATGTATACAGGTGCCAACACTTACGTAGACATTTATATTTATATACACAGAGACACACACGCATACAAAGAAGCAAGAAAAGAAATCCACCTAGATACTCAGGCGTACAAGAACGTACACAAACAAGCATCCTTTCACACACATACACATGCACGAGTACATTAAAGCCTAGGGTTGAACGTGTACAAAGATCGAGAACGTTTGACATGGACCGATTCAAGTTTTTTTTTTTAAATTAACACTAGACTTTTTAAAAAGTTCAAGAAAGATTCAAAACAAAATACAGCTAATACTGAAGTTCTCCTCTAGGGCGAGTCCGAGGCTAAAAATTACAAAGCAAATGAATGAAATATGTCGAGAAAATTGTCCTGGCGACCTGGTAGCGCGGTGGTTAAGTGAGCGTTAAGTGTGAGCATCGTCCGGAGTGCAAACCTCTTCAGGCGAGAGGAGGAGGGGAGGGGGGAGGAGGGGGAGGGCCCGGTGTACCTCTCTACCTCATCTCTTTTTACCAACGATAATTCTCCCAAATTACTGGAACCGGTGTCAGGTAGGCGAACACACTGTCTGACACACTATACACCTGGACATGGCTGGGTACCTAATGTACACACCATAATGGTGTCTTGACATCATATAGGGGTGTATGACCACACCATAACAATGTCTCGACATTATATGGGGGTGTATGTACACAATATAACGATGTCTCGGCATCATATAGTCGTGTAAAAACACAACATAACAGACGTTCGGACATCACATGTTATACGAAGACAGCTTAGCGGTTAGTGTGATATCATTAGATGTATGACAACACTAGAACAAACATTTGACAGCATCTGATGTTGTATACACCCACGTCTGATGGATGTTTTCACCGTGACCTAAGTTCTCAATACAGTCCGTAGTTCTGTGAGGTAATATTGGATTGTGTTATTATTTTCGCCGCCAATCATTCCTTATTTGACCGCCAACATTATTCAATGCTATACAATAACAAATTGTAAATAGTTTCGTTATAAAACTGATGTAATTATACAAAAATATCATGTCTACTCCCTACAGGAAGGTAATTACCACAATTAATTACCCACGGTGTCTGTAAAATCAAAGTTCCAGAACTTTCCCAAACCCGAGCATACATTCTCCAACCGGAAGTAGCTTTTTTCTTGCACCGCATGACGTCACCGCTGACTGGTCGCGACCAGGCGGAGTGCGCATGTTCAATATTGTGTAACTTCCCGTGGGCCCATACAGACCCCACATCAAACTCCCAGCACGAGCACCAGGGGGCTCCACTCGAATCACGTGATACCCGGGCCGGGGCGACGAGGTTTGCTCTCATTAAACTTGAGCTCACCGCACGGCGCCGCCTTTAATCCACTTAGCTCCCACCTTTGTGAGCTGACGATCAAAAGCTCCAAAAAAAAAGAGGAGCTGTTCGCTTGAGTGCCCACCCCCGGGATGGGAGCATACACCACACGGAGGGCGATCCGGGCTCATGGGGCCGCATGAGCCCAGTCTAACCGATTTTACCATCTTGACGCTCTTTAGATCTTTTAATCCCAACCTGGCAATTAATCCATTACTAAACCGTCGGTACTTTAATGCTGCTCTTAGTCTTAGTTAAACGTTTCAAACCATATTTCTCGTTATTTGAAGTTTTGCCTTCAAATAAAACAACGAACATTTAGATTGGCAGGCTATCTTGGCGAAATATGCACAAGAAAATAAATGTCGAAGAGCCTGATATGCAGGAATAATTAGACAGAATAATTCAAACGTTTTTTAGTGAAAGAAATTAAAGAACCGTTTGTGTCCTTTTCTGTGATCTCAGAATTTGTAGGAATAATTAGGGTGGCGTAATGTCTTTGTTTGAGTTTGGCACCCATTAGAACTGAGTGAACTCAGGGACCTTTGGTAAACCGGAGCTACAGAAATACAAACCCTAGCCTTCTGGTTAGGGATCGTGTAATCGTCCACCGGACCACGACGCAACTTGACGCAATTTGATTGTATAAAACTTCTGCAACAAAATCGAGTCAGATAAAGAATGAGTGTGTAATGTATGATCCCAGTTTCTACTGATGTTGCTGTTGTTGAATCAGGTGCTGGCGTGTCTTTAGTCTGGCGTGTCTTTAGTCTGGCGTGTCTTTGGTCTGGCGTGTCTTTGGTCTGGCGTGTCTTTAGTCTGGCGTGTCTTTAGTCTGGCGTGTCTTT